TTAATAAAAATTTATTGTTTATTAATTTCTTCACATATTGAAAAGAAAACTTATATATTTATAGTATATAAATTTTCAAATATGAGTTATTACGCTGTTTTCTTAGGAAAACTTAGTTATTGTTTAACATTTTTGCTGAATTATCACTTTCTTATTTTAATCAAACATTTTTCTTCCAGTTATTTATCGTTGTTTGTTTTTATTATAAAAAATAACCTTTAAAAATGTCTTTTTATTTACAAAAATTAACTGATAGCATTTTATCTCGTATCATTGTCAAAACTTTTATCTAATATGAAAAAATAATAAGACTCCCACTTTCTTTACCGGTTAGTTGCATAAGTGGTAACTCTGGCAGAAACAAAACTACAACAAAGATTTTTACAACTCTTAACAAGAAATGATTAGAAATAACTTTTCAGTGGAAAACAAATAAATATGATAATCATATAAATTAATTACTATATTTTATAAGTTAGTAAATTACTCAAAAATAGTAAGCAAGATGCAATGATATCAAAGCTAACAAGTTAAATATTCTTACGTAGATTGTAAAATTGAATAATAGTTAAAATTAAATTTACATATATTAATAATATATTATAATAAAAAATTAAATTTAGTAATAACTCACGGAATATATTATTAATTAGTATTTTAATATGTCCTGCAAATGAAATTTCAAAAAATTCAGTCTTTTATACTTGTAAAAAAATATAATCAAAACATAAAAAGATAAGTTTTGAAATTACAATATCAGAGCAAAAATTTCAATTTTGAAATGACACAAAAAATATATTGTTTTAGCTAACAATCATTAGTTGAGGCTCAGATATTGCCTCCACTTAAACTTGTAAATCTTACTCTAGCTCCTTTAATATTAAATGACTCTTGTAAAATTTCTTCATTTCATTAAAAAAAAAGTTATAAAGTAATATTGTATAAATTAAAACTAAATTAAAAAATAATTATTTATTATCGCTCTTGTAAAATTGTCAAATTCGTCATTAAGATTAAAGTATTTAAGTTAATAAAGAGAAAGTCTTAACCAATTTTGAGCATAGATGAACGTCTTAGTCATTTTAGAGAAAGTGGACTTCTAAATATATCCAATATTCTACCTTCAATGCTAAAAGCACTTTTAAGATGTCACATAAACAATAAATGTAGCTAAGACATCCTTTTTCATGTCATGAGAACCAACAAGAAATAGTGATAATGAAGAGAGAAAATAAAGGGTCACCTTTTATAAGTGTTTGGAGGTCTATGATAAGGTCAAAAATAAAGAAAAGCCAAAGAAATCCTATATCAAAGGGTGAAAACTATGATCAAGGCACTCGATAACATGGAAGAGAAGAATCAAAGATTAGACTCTCATGTTCTAATAGAATATTATGAAAATTAGGTTCAGTTTCAATTTATGTCAACTCAATCCTGTTATTTATACTTTGTGCCGTAATTTTATGTTTTAATTAAATAATTGCTTATGTCTTAAGTTTTATATTTTATTATGTTTAGTGAATTTAGTTATATTAGTTAGGGAGTCTTCTAGGATTTTTATATAAATTATTATTATTAGGTTTGGTTATATTGGTTATTAAGTCTTTTAGTGTTTTACTTTTCATTATAAATATTCATATAAAGCTTTTTAATGGAATAACTTTAGTTTTAAATAAGAATTAAGGGTTTACATATTTAAAAGAGCTTTTGCACCTTTTAAAGTTCTTGTAAAGAACTATTACTTAGATGTTATCAAGGGTTCCTTACTCTTGTGAGAATTCTAAAATGAGCTTATTATTTTTTTGTATGTGACTTTATTCTTTTTTCCATCTTTTTTTTTTCTTCTTTGTTTGCATTTGGAATCCTATTTTTTGTTTAAATTATCCCATGATCATAACACATGTTTTGCAATTATTTTTACAGTGTTCTTCAACTAATTGATTTAACTTGAGGAATAATCACATTATTTCATGTAACGCCCCGAATTTTGGCAATATTAATTATTGTTATTTATATAAATCTAAATGTATATATATGTGTGTGTTGATTTACTTGATAATGATGTTTATGTGTATTAAGTATATAGATGTGTGTATTGTGTGTATGCATGACTGGATAAGGTTGAAATGGGTTAAGTGCCTAAGTGTAAGGCGTGATATTGGGTTGTTCACGCTGTAGCAAAAGAATTCTCGCTGTAGCGAGAGGGCCCTGGAGAAAGGACCAGAACTGTCGCCTTCTCACTGTAGTGAGAGATGTCTCGCTGTAGTGACAGAGCGACAGTTTAGGGTGCATTTCCGGGTCATTCTCGCTGTAGTGAAAGGGTCTTGCTGTAGTGAGATTCTGCAGAAACTAGAGTGCAATTTTCTCTGATTTTTTTGCTGTAGCGAGAGGGCGTGTCGCTGCAGCGAGGTAGAGTGTCACGACCAGAAAAGGATTTAAAGGGGGTTAGGGTTCGGAGAGAGTTATTTTCTCCCTCTCCCTTCGATCCTCTCATGCCCAAAGCCCTTTTCACCGATTAAATTGCCTCCAAAACCGTTCGGGAGCTTGATTGAAGGTTAAATCCGTGTGGGGAACGCTTGGAGGTGAGTTTTAAACGGTTAGCGTTTTTGTTTTCCCTCCCTTTCTTTGTTCTTGGTGATTTTCGGGGTTCTCATGGAATTCTTCCATGTGTTTAGGCCGAAAGTCGTGTGGGGAGTATTTCCGTAGTTGAGTTCAGACGTGGGTCTTCAATCCAAGGTAAGGGGGGACTCTACCCTACTCTTTTATGTGTGATTTGCTGATATTTTGTGTGATATTGTGATGTGACTGAGTAGAGGGTAGAAAATTACTGAGATATGTGGTGTGGGCACTTGTGCCGTTTATACATATGTGTAAATTTGAATGAACATTGTGAAAATGTAGGCTCGAGGGTCGTGTAATATGAATGGAAATAGGTTAGGGGCCGTGTGTCTTGAATGAATTGTGGGCTATGTGCTATGTGTGCTGTGAAAATGAAATGTGGGCCTAGTGCCGTAACTGTTAAATGTGGGCTATGTGCCGTATACTGAAATATGTGTGACTGGGGCGTGTAACGTCATTGTAATGTGCTTTGAATGGTTCAGCGATACATTGAGGGTGTGGGAGATGAAGACGGTAGAAATACCTTAGAGAAGAGGGAGTGGTGGTGACACCGACTGTGGAACGGATGCACCACAGGTCACACACTCTCTTCCTAACTAGACCTCTGACCATTACCTTTGCTGAGTGACCCTTGACTGCCCACGTGGTATCCCTGAGGCGGAAGTAACCAGCGACCATTCATGGTGTAAATCTGTGATCACAATGTCAATGTGAGTGTGGCTGACGTGAGTATGCATGGGTTCATGAATTGTGCTTATGGATGTGATAATGCTGCCTGTGCTTGTATTTGTTTAATGTATTAGAAATGTGCTGGAGGTGAGACTCTATGCTTAATTGTATGTTTTGGTAGTGTAGAGTACTCACCTTTACATTCATTTTTCAGGTAATCAAGACGATCAGCACCGGACTCAGTGAAAGAGGTGGATGAAACTGCTATAGGACTAGGATTTTAATTTGAAACTAATGTATTTGAATGGATCCTATAATAGTGACTTGATAGAAATTGTAACCCCTTTCCTTATTTTAAAATATTTGATGAAACCAAGGGTTGAGAACCTTATTTGAAATGAAATTTATTTTATTCTAAATTTACAAAATTATGATTTATTGAAATTAGAATAAGGTGTTACATTTCACATCAACATAGTTGATAGGATAAGGAAACAAGAGGAATTTTGCTTCCACAGTGAAAGCAAGTCGAAATTCTCATCCATCAATAGGATTTCCCCCCTTCACATATGTTAAATTATTTAATGATAACAACATTAACTCTACAATTCAATGGATACAAATCATAATATTCCTCTATTAATTTGTCAAAGAATGAAGTTAAACATGTATACTTGTCATCAAATTATTAAAAAAAATTTATTCCTTTTGTGGTAGAGAAATTAATTTGGAGGAATAGAAAATTGGTATTTGTTTAATGAGCAAAAAAAAAAAAAAAAGAAGTGTATTTACTTAATGAGAAGACAATTACTAAACTCACTAAATGAGATTAAGGAACTCTCTCATGCATTAAAAAATTAAATAGTCTAACCCATTATAAATTATTATTACTAAAGTTTAATATATATATATATATATATATATGAAATAATTGATTAATGCTAATTTATAATAAAAGGATATTGATATTTATAATATAACATTCTCTCATTTGGATATCATTAGTCAATTATTAGAAATGTATAAATTATTAAGACCAAAATATTAACTATGATCAAAATATATATTGACCAATAATTTAATAAATAAGAATTAAAACTACAAAATAAAGTATTTGATATGGATATAAATCATATGCTCATATTTTATAAAATATGGGGACATGATAATATAAGTGACATCAATTTATACATATCTTACAAGAAAGATAACAATCAACAAATTATAATTTAAATTCCCACTAATACAGTATATCAAATTATATGTTTATATTTATATATATATATAATTAATTTTTATTATATAAAGTTAATAATAAGGGAAATTTTTTTATTTAATTTCTAAATTCTAAATTCTTAAAAATATATTATATCCTAATTTAATATGAAAAACTCAAATATTTAAATAAAATAATGCAGAGACAAGACCAAAATATATTAATCATTGTTATTTAGTTATCTAGAAAAAACCTATATAAAATAAATAGTTCAATCATTTTGTCATAATCATTTAATAAATTTTCTATTCTATTTTTTGAATGATCTTTTTAATTTTTTTTAATCTTATACTTAAAAATTTTATACGAGAAAAATGTATTAATAAATAATAATTAATATTACTTTAAATTTTTACATAAATAGATGAATACTATTTTTCAAGACGGTTAAATGAGAATAGTATTATAAATATTTATTTTGATCCATAGTGTATGTATAATTTATTTGGAAGGAAAGAAAAGGTTGGGCCCATACTGGGATTAACGGTGGGCTGTGTTTGGTTTCCAACTTCAAAATTGACAAAACCTCTCCTCTCTCTCTCTCACTACACTTACCCTCCATGGCTCGTCGTGCTATTGCCCATGGATCTGTAGCCTAACTTCACTTCAGAGTCTCTCTCTCTCTTTCTCTCTCCTTTGACTGCATGGAAATGAAAAACACTAACACTCTGCTTCTCTTCTTTCAATTCTTGTGTTTCTTTCAAGATCACTCTTTGGTTGCACCCATGCCACTTGTGGATTTCTCGTTCCACACCATTAATTATTACTTGGGTTTTCAGTTTTCGTAACAAATTTTGATTCAAGAACCTCCTGTGGGTAGATGGTTGTTGTTAGATACAAGTTGGAACCCTTAAGTGGCAAATATCATAGTTGAGGGCTTTTCTTATTACCCACAATTTTGTTTTAGAAATGGGAATGGGGAAGTGGCGAACCCTTTTTTTTCCCTTTTCAATTTGATGAATTTTTTTTTCTTTCTTTTTATTGTGTATAGCGTACGAATTATTTTTAGTCGTTTAGTGCTTGTTTTTTTTGAATAATTTATTTTGTATAAGTAGAATCGATTATTTTTGTTAGTTTCTAGAGAGCTTTTGAAAAATAAAAAAATATTTTCCGGAATTAGTTGGTTCCCAAACACATTCTTAATCTTAAATTAAATCTAAATCTATTTTCTGGAGCTTTGGATGTATAATAAGAACTATTGAAATTGATCATGTTATTGTTGTTTCTTGTTCTTCTTTGGGCTCCTTTTGACATCTATGCATTGTTGATAAGGTTTGTATGGATTTTGATTTGTAGGAAAAATTTTGCTGTTGGACTCTCTTGTGTTTAGATTGATTTCCAATTTCAACTTTGGGGGATATTTGTTGTTGGGAGTTGGGACTTTTGGTGAAAGATGGTTGGCAACCCTCCATTGCATGTTGCAACATTGCCAAGTGCTTTATCTTCATCGCTTATTACTCTACATGGAAATTCTTTACATTGTATGCCCTGTCTTCCATTTAGACCCCGGAGAAAAATCAACAGGATAAGAGCTACATCTGCGGATGCAGGGCACGTTGAACCGTCGCCTGCTCCGGGATCAAAGAATCCACTTGCAATTGTTTTGGACATTCCTCATACTGTTTGGAGGCAAACGCTGCGTCCATTAAGTGATTTTGGATTTGGTGGCAGGAGCATATGGGAAGGTGGGGTTGGACTGTTTTTAGTGTCTGGTGCCGTTTTGTTTGTGCTTAGTTTGGCCTGGTTAAAGGGTTTCCAAATGCGATCGAAGTTCAGGAAGTACACTGCAATGTTTGAGTTTGATCAGGCTTGCGGTATATGCACTGGAACACCAGTGAGGATCAGAGGGGTGACTGTTGGTGATGTCATTCGTGTGAATCCTTCTTTAAGAAGTATTGAAGCAGTTGTTGAGGTGCCTCTTGATAGCATAATCTTTTGGACGAAATGAAAGCTTGTTACACTTCCTATACCCTAACATCCAACTGTTAAAAATATTGCTTGTCTTTCAAATTTGTTATTTTAGTTGGTGTTTTGGACTGGTTTAAACTTTTGGCTTTCTTCGATTTGTAGATTGAAGATGATAAAACAATCATACCACGGAATTCATTGGTTGAAGTTAACCAGTCTGGTCTGCTTATGGAAACTATAATTGACATTACTCCTCGTGATCCCATTCCATCACCTTCAGCTGGACCTCTTGACCAAGAATGTTCTAAAGAAGGTCTCATTGTGTGTGATAAAGAAAAGATTAAGGGTTACCAAGGAGTCAGTTTGGATGCATTGGTTGGGATATTTACCCGCCTTGGGCAAGATGTAGAAAAAATTGGTATTGCCAATAGCTATTCATTGGCTGAACGTGCTGCTTCAATTATTGAAGAAGCGAAACCACTTCTTACAAAGGTGTGATGTAATTTTCTTACGCTAGTATGCTTGATTGATGGTAAAATATCCCCTGAAGTAGACCATTGAGTCAGGCAATTTTCTCCCCAATGCAGAATGGATGGTTACCCAACTTTGAGTTTTTTATAGTATTTGAAATTTGAAAATAGGACAAGATTGTTTGTTAAGGCCTTAGAATTCTCTGTTTGAAAGTCTTGATTTGGGAGTTTTAGTTTTATTATTTGCTCTTATATATTATGGTAACCTATTCCCTTTTCAGCACTAGTGCCATATTTTACTAATTATATCGGTTAATGAAAAGAATTTGGGGTTCATAGATATGCCATTGCATTCTGGAAATTTAGAATCCTTTATTTGATTTATTGGGGCCATTCTCCTTTAGCATACTTTTTACATCAAGTAATGGTAAGCAAAAGCAAACGACATATTCCATATAAAGCTTATGGTTTTCATTAGCTCTTTTTAGCTACGTGGTATAGTTTATCAAAATAAGTTGTTTTCTGCTTATTCCAGTAAGTTTTAGGTTAAATTTATGGCATAAGTCATTATGTAAAAAGCGCTTATTGAATAATCACATCATCTAACCTCATCCCGATTAGAACATATTAACATATTATGGATTTACATTCTTTATTTTTTTTGGATTCACTAGCAGTTAAATGGTAATGTGTCTTAGATTATGTGCAATATGGTAATTGACAACCAGAGTGATAGTACAATTATTTATTCCTAAATTCACCTACATCATTTTTTATGAATTTCAGATTCTTTGTTGTAGTTATATACTGTTTTCTTTTATAAAACTTTGTCATGCATTCTCATACCCATATTTTCCCTTTGATGTAGTGATGTCACAGATCAAAGCCATGGCTGAAGATGTTCAACCTTTGTTGACTGAAGTCCGTGACAGTAACCTATTGAAGGAGGTTGAGAATTTAACCCGAAGCCTTACACAAGCCTCTGATGATTTGAGGTTAGTTTGTAAACCTCACTGGCTCTTGTTTATTTCTAATTTGGCATGCATGCCTACATAGCCCTGTAGCATGTTGATATTAGTGTAGGGGTTTCCAGTGAGCCTGTCAACATTTTAATCTTGGGATAGATACTGAGTGAGGAAACTTGATAGTTAAAATGGCAACAATTTGTAGTTCTAAATAGTAAGTTTTTTAGCTTTTAAATGTTGAAATTGTATTTGCATTTAAAGTTCTTTTGCACATAGGTGTGCATGAGCAAAAGAAAGGAGTGGAGAAGAAACGAAAAGAATATTTTAGAAAAAGGAGAACTTACAAGGATAGAAAAAGTTGAAGAATTGGGAAAAATATGAGCAACATGTATAGGGAGAATATGATGAGTTTCATCATCTGCAGGATATTTCTTTTTTCTTTTTTTCTTTTCTTAATTTTTAATTTTTCAAAAAATGCTTACTCAAACATGTTAACAAATTTCTAAAAGGTAATATTTTCAGGAAAAAACCCTAAAACAAATGCACTTTGAGAGTGCTCCAAATATAATGCCACTCTTCTAGTCCCCATTTTTAGCCATGAAGATCCATAAAAAACTTTAATTCTCAGAAAGGGGATCTCAAACTTCTTCAAGTATGGAAGAATTAAACTAATTTAAAAATTCCATTTAATATTTTAATCTTAATTTTTATGCACAGAATGTTCTTTTAGTATAATGGTTAGTTTAACTCTCTCGTATTCCAATTAATAAAAATCATCCAATGTTTATGCAGGAGGGTACATTCATCCATTATGACCCCTGAGAACACTGAACTGATCCAGAAGTCCATATATACTCTTATTTTTACCCTGAAGAACATTGAGGTAGGATCCTAGTTTGTAAATAGCTTATGAATATCATTAAAATGAATAATTTTGTTATATTAATAATTACTTATTGGTCACATTATTGCAGAATGTTAGCTCTGATATTTTGGGTTTCACTGGCGATGAAGCTACAAGAAAGAATTTGAAATTACTTATCAAGTCCCTCAGCAGGTTATTGTGAGGTCGAAACTCCAATTAAAGTAGGATAAAATGCAATTAGGTTACATCCAATGTTTTCCATCAACCACAACATTGAAGGAGAAAATAGTATTTTGTGACAGTTTTAGTTGTTTCTGAAAATGTGACATTACTTATGGTTTTTACATTCTGCTGTGATAGAAATTTGTTTCCAAGTCAACAATGAGAGAGAGAGAGAGGGGGGAGGGGGGGGGGGGGGGGATGTGTTAGTGATTGGATCAGCTCATTGCTATGTGCATATCCTTATTTTACTGAAATGATGTTATTCTTCTGGGTAGCATGGAGGTGATTCTTAATGGTTGTCACTTGTGACATTTCACCTAAAATGCTCACACAAAAGTGAGGGTACAGGCTTATGGTGTTTCATTGGTGAGGTTTAAAGTTGTAGGTAGTTGTTTTTCAAATATAAAAATTGATAGGGGCAGGATCATTTGCTTACATACAGAGCATTTTGATATCATTGGAACAGGTTTATGGGTTATAGTGCTTGACCTTCTATTCTCTTTTTCCTTTTTGGACCCTTGTTTCCTTAAATATAAAGCTTTAACCTTGAAGTTGAGATGGATAGTTATTTGGTATCTATAAAGAGCTGATTTTCTGTTGTTAAAATGTCTTTTTGTCAACACATAATTTTATAAAAATGTGGTATGGGAATCTAAACACATATTGCATATAAGTTTAAATATGTTTTTGATTCCAGACTCAAACATTGTTTTTGTTTTTTTATCATATTTTAATTTTATTTAAGTCCCTACATTTAACAAAACCAGTGTGTTTAGTCTCTCACTGGGGAATTAAAGTTTATGCTTTTTTACTTTTAAAGGATTAAAAATAAATAAAAAAGCAGGGACTATTTTAAAAATAAGATATTTTTGGGATAATTTTTTTTAAGCCTTGGATATTTTATGACAGCTAGCAATGCTACAGTGTTTTGTATAGGATTTGTTTAATGTCATTTCTAAAATTAATTGGGTAATCTTGAAGTCATTATTGTAAGAAGGATATTTACATAATCACCACGCATGACCCAAAATTGTGTGAGCAATTGCAAAAAGAATAAAAAATAAAATCCTAAGAATTTTGGCTGGATTTTGTTTTTTTCTGGTATGATATTTTTTTTAATGTAATTATACTATATAGTTTTTTCCTTTTAGAAATGAAATATACTGGAGCAGGATACAATTGACATTCAGCCGACAAGAGATCACGTATTAAAGGGTGAAAATCTACAAAATAAGTGTTGTAAGGTTGAAAATAGGTTTTATTGAAAGTTATTTGAAGTTTGGGGAACATTTTTTCTTTCTGTTGCAGTATATATTCTTTTATCATTTTATTCGTGTACTTCAGAAAAGTGGTCTGTTAAAGTCTTTCAAATTTGTGGCAATAAATATCAACATTTTGATATCAAATGTTTAGAAGTTATATGAAACAAAAATAATTTTTCTCTTTTTTAATCTTTTATATCGTAATGATGCATATAGTTTAGTTTACACGGAGTCTGTATTATGAATCTTTCAAATATTTTTAAATTTCAAATTTGAAGTTATCACTTTTTTTCAAACACGGAATGATTAAACTAATGGAAATTTTGGCATAGTCAGCATTTTTGGAATCTTTTGCAAATTTTTACACGTTTTACCGGAACTTCTGGGCAAGGAAAAAAAAAAATAGGCACCATTGCATTTAATTATACTAATGTGAAAATTGCGATCTTTAATAACTAATCAAAATTACATTAAATCACGTTTCAACGTTAAATATATTCACCTTTGGGTAAATTTGACGGAAATAAAATTCATGCACTGCTTCAGTTTGGTGTTGGTCTAATCAGAAGAAAATCAAATCATATTAGTTGAATGAATTAAATATTGATTCAGAAGGTTAGTATACAATAAGGACAAGTTAATGGGCTGTCTTATAAACCGTTGCAGATGAATTCGACTAGTGACACAAAGGGACATTTAGGAACATTTTAAATTATATTTTCCCATTTGAATTCGAAAATATTATTTTTCAATAAACGAGCGTTTGATCGTTTGTGACTTTAATTTTCACTCTATCTTTTCAATACTAAATCAATAAAGGAGAGTCCAATGGTGCTACTACAAAAGCAATCGTTTGACCATAATCAAGTGCAATTAAACTATGTACAAAGGTGGTACAAGAGATTCATGAATTGTATTTATAGAACGAAAAAAGAAAAATGAAAGCCATCAAATTTTCACAAAGCTGCTGTCATACAAGCCAAACAATGTTCTTTAGGAGTGGTAGTCTTAGTTTGGTAGTTATCTCAATAGAAGTATGTGTTGCTGCAATTCATTTTGCAGTGCTTTTGAAAATATGCCTATGTTGGATATTAAAATTTAAAAAATAGTTACATACAAGCCAAGCAAAAAAAAAAAAAAAAGAGAGAGTAAAACATACTGATAATGTAAAAATAAAATAAAATTATATTATCATTCAATTATAAATTGTCATAAAGTTAAAAATTATTAATTTCTGTAATAACTATTTTAAAAGTCATTTCTAGAGTTATTTCTAATTTGTTAACGGTATAAAAAATCGTTTCAAAATTTGTCACTACAGTAAAATTATTAGAAAACTTTCCACTCGCAAGTGGTGACACGAACAGAACAATTCCTAATCCCGTGGCATATTCAGGAGTCATTTTCATTAAGCCGATACACTGTGATTTCTTGCTGCTTGAAGTACCGTCTGTCTTCTTCATCCACAAGAACAAGATTAAGATAATACTTCACACTGAACTTGTTATTGATATTGTAGTATGTTGGAGTCAGCTCATATGGACTGAGGAACAATCTGACAGGAATTGATTCTCCTGAAAAAAGCAATATCAGCAATACTACTATATGTTGATTTTCACCAGCAAATGAGTAAAATCTATTTAAATAGAAAGTAACTAAGCAAGCACAAGCACCATTTTCAAAACCACTTGTGAGTGGAATACTAAAGCCAAATATTAGTTAAAAACTTGAAAGTATTTAGTTGACCCTTCTGTTTCTTTCAATTTTACCATTAAAATATCGTTAAAAATAACAAATATTATGAAAAATGGTTTCTTGTTGTATTAAAAGAATAATTGAATAAAGTTCAAAATAGAAGTTCAGTTTAGGTAAACTTTCAGATAAGTTCTTAAGAGAAAATCAATATAAAAAATGAATAAAACTTCTCCTATAAATTAGAAACAACTTATATTTCTCTATTTTTTGATAAGTTCCAAGAAGTTCTCTCATTTAATTTCTCTAATATTTGAAGAGATAAGTTATTTTTAACTTATGATTGAAGTTTTATTCATTTTTTATATTGATATTTTTCTTCTTTGAGTACTTTTCTAGAAGTTTATCCAAGCTAGACCATATTTTGTTACTAAAATTCTTACCCTAGGGTAAATATACTAACTTTCAACAGATATGCGTTCATTTAATTATTCTACTACGCATTTATGTTTAGAGTTAGTTAATTTTATTTTGTTTCCCCACTCCACTACCCCTTCATTTTTGGATTTGTCCCCACCATCCAGTCCCCTTTTATTGTTCCCTAAATAAAACTTACCCACAATTCTAGTACTCCAATTAAGGTTAAATTACGTTTTTAGTTTCTCAAAATATCACAATTTTCCTCGTTGGTTCCTTTCAAACTCGTTATGAATTCCCAAAAAAATAAAAATCCTTCCCATGTAGTCCCTCTATAAGGTTTTGTTTATTTTGTCTCTTTAGTGCCAACATGGTTCTCAAAATGGAAGACTAAATGGGAAAACTCGTGATATTTATAAAGGACTAAATTGAAAAATCGTGATACTTAGAGGAATCAGAAAGTAAACATAAAATAACACCTAACAGAACAAAACTGATAGAAAGAGGACTAGTCGTGGACTAAATGAGAAGGGACAAAATTTTAAAACAAAGTATCAGACGAGAAAATTGTGATATTCTCTACGGGACAAAAAAAAATTAGCCTTCAACAAAATTTACAACTAATTAACAATATAAAACAACAATAAAGCATTACAATAGACCAGGCAAAACACTAATGAGCACACTAAGAGCAAAAAATGTATGGGGACAACAATGTACAGGGAAATTCTAACAGAAATACAGATCTCAAAATCTATGTCAACTGTACTTATTTTCTTTTCCTTTTTCTATTTACCTCTTTTAATATTTTTGATAGTACTTAGGTTTTTGTTTGTCCTCTGATGCTGATCTCAGTTAATGTTTGTAGCATCACACACATTTTATTATAGATAGGTTCCAACATCCATTGCCTAGTCAAACTCAGCATTTGTTAACTCAGGATTAGAATAGCGATGCCATTTCATTACTCACGATAAGACAAGAAGCATGCATATTAATAGTGTAGAATCATTTTTCTAAATGAAAAATGAAGAAAACTATATAGACTGCAAACCTCGGACTGGAACACCGTCCATCAACTCAAACTTTGAAAGGGTTTCTGTCTCAACATATGTATTGGTCCCAGATCCAGTTGATTCTCGGCGCCTGACTTCAAGTTCCATGGTTTTTATTTTGATTCTCACCAGAAGAAAATATATTTTACCAATGATGACATCCTTCAGATGATACCTGTTAATTTTTTAATTACTAAAAGCAAGTTTCATTTAATCTTCTTTAAAAACTTTAAAGATATATATTTGATCATGAGCTATTTCAGACTCACTTGCTTTTACCGTATTCAAACTCTATATGTAAGCAATCTTCAATTCCTACTTCCATCTGCATAAAGCATAAATACTACAAAAAGTTAAACTGATATTAAGTAATATCAATTCTCATGCAGAGTATACCATTAGATTAACAACTGCTTCACTTGTGAAATTAAAAACAAGGCACAGAACAAAGGATGTCAAAATCGAATTTCAATGTCGGCACAGAAGGGGGGTACAGGATTGTTTTGGACCGTAATACGAACTGTGTGTGTTAACTAAAACGCCAAATTATATTTCAACACACGTATATATGCATAATATCGGATAAGAAAAATAAGCCTTAAATAACAAACAGCAAAGCAGCAACGAACATGCAACAACAGAGCACACAGGAACAAGAGAGCAGGCAGTAAGCCATCAAGAGAGCCATAGAAGAGAAGCAACAAGCAGAGCACCACACACTCCGCCTCAATTGCTCTTGCTAACTCCATCATCCTTACCTTATAATCAGATTTATGAATACTTTTGTCCGTCAAAATTTTGCTCAAAGACCATGCATAAAGTAGGCCATGAATCGCTGCTCTGGCATTTTGGGAACCTGAGAAATTAGATATTCAAACTCTTCGATATATGAATCCATAGTCCCATCCTCTTGAATTTCTGCTTAACTCTCAAAAGGATTCTCCATTAGTCTCCCCTCCATACCTCCGAAGTAGTGCTACTTTCAGGTTATCCCATGATGGTTCTAGCTCATTTTCTATCCATAGATTGAACCAATGAACCGTAGGCCCCTCTATGGAGATTTTGGCTAGTTGCACCTTTATCTCTGGCTGAGTGTCTTGAACTTCAAAATATGTCTCAGCTCAAGAAACCTACGCACCTAAGTCAATGCCGTCAAACCCTCGAAGCTCAACCTTCTTTACTGCGAATTGAAACTCTGCCATCATATGCCCTTCCACAAAATTTTCAAGTGTTTGTTGACTTGATGAAGCTCCATCAATGTGATGCTGAGAATGAGAAGATTCTAACAACGTATTTTGATCATGGGACGGACCTCATGACAAGCACGATTCCATCTGTTTCATCTCTTCCATCAACTTGAAAACTACATTCTGCAAGTTCAACTGTGATCTCTCTTGCCTATCAGCTAGCTTTTGAACTAAATTCTCTAGTGAACTGAAACGACCTTACATGGCTGGTTCCACTCCCTTTTTATGCTTAGGCATACAGCTCCTTTTGCCGCTCTCTGATTAGGGTATCCGGCAGGTTGGACCAATTGTCAAAGACCAAATCAAAGATGTGAAAAGTATTACTAAAAAAAAAAGAAAACTCTGCAGAAATCTTTTCTGCAATACCCAGAGCAAAGCTCCTACAAAGGTCCACACCCTTGCTCACTACTAATAGAAGAAAAGCATAACTGACCCATTCTCTCTCTTTGCTCCCATTATATGTAACATTACACGTCAACCTGCTCTGCATAACTAATTTTTCTCTCTAATTCCCATTCTGCCCCTTCTTATTTCTCCTACTATAAGTTTTCCAAATCCAAGGCCCATGACAAAGTTGGACTGGACTTGTCCACTTAGGTTCATGGGACCTAACAGGTGTCGTCAGGTATGAAAGAACTAGAAAGAGGGATAACCAAAATTGCACAGCTTGAAAATCCATTTTGCATGTGAGTTTCAGCAAAATTTGGACTGCCATTTCAATGTTTTCACCTGTCGGTGCACTGCTTCACCGCATATGACCCAATGTGCCAATGTGTCATTTTGACGACCTTACCCAGAACCCCCATGTTAAAGGATCAGTAAATTGTAGTCTCTAAGCTCTTAGCCTAGTCCAGAACAGCTGTTGCCGATCTGTCAGTCTGTTAACTGACAGCCGGACAATTAGTATTAAATGCTAGGCAGTTAGTAGTATCTAGTAAGTTAACTCCAGATAGCTTGCTTAGCAAGTGACCTGGTTTCATATATAAACCCGTATCTCTGTTTTGAATGTAAGAATCAAATTTTCAGGGTTATTAGAACATTTCTCCCTCTCTTTGTTCTCTTATTTGTTTCTCAATTGTAATGCCCTCAATCACCCCAGTAGCAAAGGTGAGGACAAAGAAAATGAAAATTATCGAAGCAGCTTTTAAAGCAAACTCTTAATAGCATCAACCATAGTAAAGCATTTATATTTTATAGCATGAATGGAAAAAATACTAGTTTACCATGATTGAATGAAGGTTCAACTAATTGCAGAAAGTGGAAAACAGAACTTTCCAGTACACTAACTACTAGACATAGTTGAAATATCAAACATGGAATTAATAATTGGCAATTATCATATGCCCTACTGATAATGACCACAGGCTCCCTCACCTTAATGCTGTTATTAATTGTTGGAGCTGGCATGTAATTGCGAACCTGTAAAGAGATCGTAGTAAAAGAAAAAGGTTAACTTGGGCAGAAACAGTTATTTTCTGTAATCTGTAGTAATCTGAATCTGACATATAAAAAGGGATATATACAGTAATTACTCCAAAGATCAGAATATGAAAAATTTAGAATCTTGTCATGGCATGATCAGGCAAGAAACAATATTTTGGAAGCTTGCAGCATAAAAGTTCTAATGTATGGGATTCATGATAGAAACTCGATCAGAGAAATATGAAGAGAAAAGAATGTCTTTATTGCTCAAGATTCCCTAGAATCAACCTTGCCTCAATACGGAGGACAACAGAATTAGGGTAGACAAAATACAAAGATGAATGACCCAGGATATGTTCAAGAGTCCTGGTCTCTCCCAATCTGAACCTCACTTCTCCAAAAGCTGCTGCCTACAACTGATTTGTCCTTCCTTATTCATAACCTCCTAACAGAAACTCAACTATATGACTTGCCCACTCATTAAGATTCTGTTACAATTGTTCTGTCTTCCCCTCTGCTAATATTCTTTCCAACTCTTCTCTTATAGACCCTTGTTATAGGAGGTCTACTATCAGTTTATTTCTAGTGCACAACTTTAGAAAGTGCAAGCATTTATGAAGGAAGCAAACATAACTTCTAAAAAGTACGAATATTTGTAACAGTACAATAAAAAGAAATGCAGAGTGAAACTAAATCAAAGAATCAACAATCTAATCCCACCACCCTCCTTTCTCTTAATATAAAATTAGAACTCATACCTTCAAATTCCCTACAGCTGCTCTCCATTTAAAAACACCTGTTAGAGATGTTATAAAAGTATAAAACTATTCATATGCCTTAACACAACAGTTTAAACTTTCTGGATAATCCGTTCGTGGGTATATTAGTAGTAGTGTGATCAATTTTGAATATTAATTGGGACTAGAGGTTTCTTTGATTTAAATATGAATTTCCAATTTTGTCACATTCAGTAAGCAAACCTAACATTAAAAACAACTAATGTAGCAGAAATTATAATTACATTAGGAAGCAAGGTGATCACCAAATGATTTTTAAATTCCACAAATTTTAAATATTTTAATGATGAACATAATCTTTAGTAATCACTCATATTTTGATATAACAGAAAGAACTGTGAATTAAAAAAATTGAAGAAATAAAAGTATAATTGGATAACTGGCATGGTCATAATTTAAGCGGGAAAAGCAATTTACAACATAGAGCATTTGGTTGTTGCATAAGTCTATATTCTTAAGAATGATTTAATGCACCACTTGTTTTGGATAGGATTAGATGTTTGGCTCCTATTTGATGTAAAGCACTTGACTTTTTAATGAGGTCTCACTAGCAACTTTGTTTCATTGATTTTCCCTTTATCCTTTGTTGTTTCTGTTTTGTAATTTTACTAAGGAGAAGGAGGTGTCCCCATCCTTCCTTCTATTTTGTCATATTTTCCCTACATTTCAGTAAATTTCTTTTTATTAAAAAAATATATCTAATCCTTGACTCTACCACTAATTAGGTTTCTAGAATTTTAACATAATGCCTGCCTCCATAACTTGAAATTAATTTATTTAGTACTACTATATTGCATTTGATGTACTTTGACAATGTTGGGGACACAAGTTACAAAAACAGTTGAACGTATGTATACATACAGCACCAATTAGTGACACTTGAATGTAATATTAGATAATCTGTTGTAGCATACAATTATGTATTGAATAATTCCTTATTCATTGTAATAAGGATAATTTCCCTCTTACAATTATGTACAGATTTGTAGCCTAAAATCCCAAGGTTAGCAATAATTTGTTTATTTTCATGTCTATATGATACTTTGTAACTACTGCTGTAATATCATCATGATTCAAACATGGCAGTGCAAAACAACTATAATCACAAAAAGTATGTATGGTAATCAAAACAATGGGGGATATGTAGTAGTAAAGCTATGAAAGTCATGATTATATAGTAGAAAATCAACTCACTACAAAATCCATGCATTCCACAATGCTGTTGACATAATTTCGACTAACAGTCACCTTCAAAATGTACCTGCATGATTGCCAAAAATTGATCTAATGCATTCAGTTAAGTCATTATGTTCATTTCTTTCCAACTGGAAGCAATTTTTGGCCAATGACAATATTGACTGAAGTATGAAAAAAGCACACAATAAGAATCATCCACTGTAATATCAATATTCTACAAATTCATCAATGGTATGACACATTTACCCTTTGTTTCCACCCAGTGTCCATCATTCAATTTCAGTATTACACCCCTAACTACTTAGTTTGGCCTATCTACGCTGTGGCCTAACTCCTAAGACACAAGTGATTTGTGAATTAACTGTAACTTGTGACTAGCATCACTATCAATCAAAACCTCATTAAGTTTCCATTCCATTCTCATGCTACACTGTTTGACATTCCAAACAACCCCAATGCATTGCATTCTAAAGCTTTCTTCATTTTTTACACCCACTTCAATGGTGTTAGATAACAATTAGGGATTAGATATAATCAAGGATATGCTTAGATATGTAACTGTAAATTAGGGATTTAATTGATTCTTTTGTAATTATGATTCTGATAGAACTGGACCAAAGGAATAAGAACAGAGCAAAAAAGAATCAGAACCAAGGAAAGAATTGTGTATTATTGTTGTTAAATCTGAGTTGGGGATTTGGTACCCCACACAAAGTAAAAGAATGTTTACAAACAATGTCTCATTACAACTATATCTCCTTTCAGGTATTTGTATCCTGATCTCTCCTAGTCCAATCCCAAGTGACTAACTGAATGCCCCCCATTTTCCTCCCTTTGCCCTATTTATTCTCAATTAGTAAAAATACTTGTAACAGTTACATCAGAATCAATTATCAGTTGTTATGCTTACCTGGGCCAGCCCCACCTTTATTTTTCCTAACATATACTTTCCTAATCAAAGGTCTAACAGTACTCCCCCCCAAAAGTTCCACCTTGTCCTCAAGGTGAAATTGTGAAAAATGTTCCTAGATAGTAGCAACTGATTCCCTCATGGCTTCAAATTCAGGGAGGTCCTTCCACTTGATCAATACTTCTGCTGTACCTGAAGGATTATTGAGAACTCTTGGCACCTCTACAGGTTTGACTTGAACTTCCAAGTCATCCATTAACATCGTAGGTAAAGGTTGAAATTGAGTTGCTGGACCAATGGCCTTCTTAAGAAGTGAGACACGAAAAACAGGGTGGATTCGACTATCATCTGGAAGTTGCAACTGGTAAGCAACCTGTCCCACTCTTAAACAATTTGATGAGGTCCATAAAATCTCGGACTTAATTCTCATTCATCCTTTTAGCTAGAAACTTCAATCTGTAAGGCTGCAGCTTGAGATAAACCCAGTTCCCAACAGCATACTGAACTTCCCTCCTATGTTTATTAGCATAAGCCAGCATTTGATCTTGGGCCTTGAGAAGGTTTTTTTCTCAAATCATGTATGATGGAATCGTGCTCGTGTCAATTGATTGACTTCTTCAACAATAGATGGTACAGTAGTTCCCTTAAGAAGATAAGGAGTGTAAAATACTAACATAAATACTAATCCTAATAAGTCTATTATAGCTATTTATAACACTCTCCCTCAAGCTGGAGCATAGATATTAATCATGCCCAACTTGTTACAAATATAATTGCTACATGTCCCATTTAAAACCTTTGTAAACACATCTGCTAGTTGATCATCTATCCTAACATGAGAGATAGATATAAGCTTCTATTGAACTTTTTCTCAAATAAGGTGACAATAGATCTCAATATATTTCGTCCGTTCATGAAAAACTGGATATGAAACAATGTATATCGCTGCCTGGTTATCACACCAGAGTTACATAGGCTTAGTGCTACCAAATCCTACCTCTTCTAACATATGTTTCAACCACATTAACTCACAGGTAATCTGAGCCATCGCCCTGTATTCTGATTCTGCACTCAATCTTGATACAATGTCCTACTTTTTACTTTTCCATGAAATTAAATTACTTCCCAAGAACACACAATATCTGGTAGTAGATTTTTTGTCCATAGATCCTACTTAATCAGCATCAGAAAACGGCTCTATCTATACATGTCCATGATCTTTGTACGCAATTCTTTTTTCTGGTGCTTTCTTCAAATACTTCACAATGCGGATTAGTGCTTCCCAATGAGTATCCATCAGAGATAACATAAACTAGCTAACAATACTCACTGGAAAAGTCATTCCGGCCTTGTGATAGTCAAGTAATTCAACTTGCCTGCTAATCTTCTATATTACTGTGGATCTGCAAAAAGAACTCCATTTGCTGTCAGTTTCACTCCTGACTCCATAGGTGTCTCACATAGTTTAGTTCCTTTTAGTTTCGTCTCAGTCAATAAGTCTAAGACATATTTTCTCTGTGAAATGAAGATTCCTGACTTGGAGTACATGACTTCAATACCTATAAAGTATTTCAGAATTCCTAAGTCTTTTGTCTGAAACTTGGTTTGAAGAAATTTCCTTAGGTTGTTGATTTCTTCTTTATCGCTACCTATAATAACAATATCATCTACATAAACAATCAATAAAATACAATCAAGGTTAGTCTGTTTGTAAAATATTGTATGATCACACTCACTCCTTTCACTAATCCAAATTCCAAAATCACGTCATTGAATCTCCCAAGCTCTAGGCGATTGTTTTAAGCCATATAATGACTTCTTTAAACGATACACTTTTCCATACTCCCCCTGAGCAACAAAGTCAGATGGTTGCTCGATGTACACCTTCTCCTGTAAGTCTTCATGTAAGAATGCATTCTTTACATTTAACTAGAATAATGGTCAATTATGCATAGCTGCAAGAGAGATGAAGATGCGAATAGATGAGAGTTTAGCACTAGAGAGAACGTATTAGTGTAGTCAATGCCATAAGTTTGGGCATACCCTTTTGCAACAAGTCGTGCCTTCAGACGAGCCACAGAATCATCCAGATTAACTTTCACAGTGTAAATCCACTTGCAACTAATAGCTTGTTTTTCCTTAGGAAGAGGAACCAAATCCCAAGTATTATTTGTCTCAAGGGCCAACATTTCTTCCTCTATAGCATGTCGCCAACATCATGACCAAGGGCATATAGGTCTTAAGAACAGAAAGAGAGTATACACCAATCATGAAGGATTTTGACGTAGAGGATAAATGAGCAGACGTCACATAAGATGAAATAGGATAAGTGCAAGATTTCTTACATTTACGGATAGCAATAGGAAGGTAAAGGTCAGACATGAGATCTGTTGACACTTGAGGAGATAATGGTAGAGGTTGAGTACCATCTTGAATATCGTTAGTCACAAGGGTCGCGTCATCTGAAGGTTGTTTTGGCCAGCGAGAGTATGTCCGCTCAAAGAACTTGAAACTTGTATCTACAGGAGCTAGAGGTGCAAAAAAATGTGTAAATTGGATAATAGTATAAGTCAAGAAGGGTTTATCTACCTCATACATGAACTCAAAAGAAGAGAACTTAAAAAATGGAAGACTTTCAAAGAAAGACACTGATAGAACCCAATGTTTAAACTGAATATGAAAGACTGTTCTTTATTACTGAACCTAATCCCCAATACTACACCAACGTGGTACAGATTAGGAATAGGAAGAATGATTACAAAATTCAATAACCTAAGGTGATTCGAGAGACCTCACTCTCCAAACCAGCCTATTCTATTCCAACCGAAAAACTGAAAACTAACTATTTGTGCTCATATTTATTTACTAACAGAGCCAGCTGTCCAATATTAATAGAATTGGTTATTTACACTTTTATTTTTCTGACTAGTCTTCTTTCTCCTAGTATATACATGTTTGAATCTATCAATACCCCCTCCCCCCTAAAAGAGCCACCTTGTCCTCAAGGTGAAAGTCAAGGAAAGCGTCTTGAATGGAGCTAGCTGATTCCCAGCTGTTCTCATGATCTGGCAGCTGCTTCCACTTGATAAGGACTTCTGTTTCACCTGCCACAGTTTGGCGGGTCTCCAGCAGCTGGTCAGGACTTACTTCCAATTCATACTCTGCAGACAACATAGGGGGTAGAGGTTGTGCTGTTGTAGTCGGATGAATGGCCTTTTTAAGGAGTGATACATGAAAAACCGGGTGTATACGGCTGTTTTCTGGGAGCTACAGTCGGTAAGCTACTTGCCCAATTTTCTCCATGATTTGATAAGGCCCATAAAATCTGGGACTCAACTTAGCATTAGGCCTTTTAGTTAAAGATCTTTGTCTATAAGGTTGTAATTTCAAGAATACCCAATCCCCCACTTGATAAACAACATCACGTCTATGTTTATTTGCTTGCAATCTATTTTGATTTTGAGCTTTACACAAGTTATTCCGCAATTCCTTCAAAATCTCATCTCTTTGCTCTTGTAACTGGTTGACCTGCTCAATTTTAGATGGAATAGTAGTCCCTTTTAACAAAAGAGGAGGGTCTTGGCCATACAAGGCTTTGAAAGGGCTCATCTTGGTGGAAGCACTGTAATTGGTGTTGAACCAAAATTCTGCCTAGCTCAACCACTTAGGCCAATGTTTGGGTTTAGACCCTGTTATGCAACGTAAATATGTCTCTAAACAGCGGTTTACCACCTTTGTTTGACCATCAAATTGAGGATGGTAAGTAGTGCTAAAGTTCAGTTTAGTGCTTGCTTGTTTGAATAATTCCTTCCAAAAAGCACTCAAAAATATTTGATCCCTGTCAGAGACAATGGTGGAAGGAAACCCAGTAGCTTTACCACTTCTTTCGTAATGGCCTTCATGTGTTCGAAAAGCGGTCTTCTCCACATCTTTTTTCATTAGAATCTGATGATAACCAGATTTCAAATCCAGTTTGGAAAATAATGTAGCTCCTCCCAATTCATCTAATAATTCTTCTATAATAGGGATTGAAAATTTATTGGGGATTGTGACCTTATTCAGAGCCCTATAATCTACACAAAATCTCCATCCTCCATCTTTTTTTTTCACCAGAATAATAGGGCTAGAATATGGGCTAATGCTAGGCCTTATAA